TGTATATTAATCTCTATATTCCAATCACATCCCTATCCCCCCAAACACCACTCACTCATCAGTCAATGACTGGTTATGAGTGATGTATATATCTATTGAGCAAACATTTCAGTTGTCAACATGTGTTCATAGATCTCAAGCCAAATACTAGCCTAACGGTGCGATTATGGATCACAACAACACAAAAATAAAGTTTGCTTTTTTATACTCGAGTCAACTCGACTCCGACGCCTAATATAATATACGAAACTTTCATATCATATCGGAGTTTGGCGTTTGAAATGTCATTCAAAACAAAATTTTGTTTGACTTTTCGCAACCCGAGGGCTGATTGACTGCTGAGAGAGAGAGAGAGAGACGACTGGAGGGAGAGATAGATGAGAGAGATTACGATAACTGTATTCTCAGCTATTTTTTAATAATACGCTATTTATTAGATTAAGTCTCTCTCTCTCATATGATTAGTATAAGTGAGCGAACGGGAAGATAGAGACAACCAGAAAATACATTCAATTTTAAAAACTATATATTTTAACCAAAAGTTTTGCACTATTTATACCCAAAATATTTTATTTCAAACAAATAATAAATAATAATTTCTAAATTAATTCAAACACATAATTCACAAAATATTAAATAACAAATCATATATTAATTAATCTTATAATAAAGTAAATCCCCAAAAAAACTATACATAAATTATATAATAATTTAGTCATTACAATTATGACATAGGTTAGAGAAAAACAAAAAATATAAATAATTAATTTAAAAAATAAATAAACATAATTTGCACCTAGCTGTATTCATAATCTCAATTATCAGGCAAAACATAATAGCCTTTGTGTCGGTTATGGATGAAAAGGGCCACTAATATGGCGCCTCCTATAACCATCACCGCGTAGGCCACGTACGGCATAACGGACGCCCCATTACCAGACCTCCCGACCCCCTCTAACTTAGCAGTTGTGGGCAACTCGTAGCTTATGGTGGAGTTAGGAGTTCCGACTGTATCTCCCGTATCATTAGTGGTGGTTATCCTATCAGTGGTTGTGGTAATAGTCGACACAATCGGGGTCTTTATGTCGGTCAGGTGTCCGGTAGTACCGGTGCTCATCTCCTGAGCTTTTGTGGTAATAGTGGGAACAGTATGTGTAGTGGTGTCGGCTCTAGTTGTGGTCTCGGGTTCGGGAAGTCCGGTGCTATTGGGAGTCAACCCATTAGCTTTAGTGGCATTAGTCGATATAAAGGGAACGGTAGTGTCGGTAGTAGTTGTGGTCACAGGTTCAGGCTCTGTATGCTCGGCACCAATAGTAGTCGACACACTGAGTATTGTAGTAATAGTCGAGACTAAGGGAACGGTAGTGTCAGCCATAGGTGTTGTCACCTGTTCTGTGGTACCGGTGCTAATAGGGGTCTCATTAGGAGTAATAGTGGATCCAAACGGGGTAGTTGTGTCCACATGTGTAGTCCCGTGCCCATTGGACATCATGTTATTAGGGGACAACTCATGGGGGTTTGTGATAATAGTGGGAACGGTAGGTGCGGTCGTATCGGCTGTAGTTGTGGCCACAGATTCTGAAACTCCGGTGCCATTGGGTGTCAACCCATCAGCTCTTATGGTAATAGTAGAGACAATGGGAACAGTAGTGTCGACAGTAGTTGTGGTGGTCATAAGCTCAGGCTCTAGAGCTCCGGTGCCATTGGGTGTCAACTCATCAGCTCTTATGGTAATAGTAGAGACAATAGGGGTAGTCGTGTCCACAACTTCGGTCACGAGGTCTATGAATCGGGTACCAGTAGTGGTGGTCAGTTCAGTAGGACTTGTGGTAATAGTTGTTACAAAAGGGGTAGTCGTGTTGATAATAATTGTGGTCACGTCATGAGGGGGTTCGGTTCCCAACGCCCTGACCCCTATACCCACATCCGGTTCCTCCGTTATCTGCCATCCCATGGGGTCCAAAAGGACAGGGACTGGAGGTTCTGCAATGACAGCGGACTGATAGGATTCACCAATGAGCTGATCCATGTCTGGCAGGGATGGGCACACTTTTTGGTCCATCAGCTCCATATGATAGGGTCGGCGCCCACTGTCCAACACAGGTTTCATGTCGAACGGCAGGCGCTCTCTGGGCTCGATATGCCAGTTGTGATACCAATTATATGTCCATAAATATACACCTATAGGAAGGGGGAACATCCGTATAAATATGTGAGACATCTATTAAGTAGTATAGTGAGGACAGGGATTATGATAGAGTTTACCATCGATGAGATAGAGGGACAGGCATGGAGCGCCTAACTCATTGCAGGGGCCGGTAGTGTCGTTGATAAGTAGGGCGGCGTCTATGCGACGGACTTCCGGGAAGTATGCGGTGCCCACCAGTATTGGTCGATCGCCAGCACTCATATCGGTCAGCCATACGGTGTGGTTCTGTGTCACAACAATAGTCAACACCTGTAGGAAAGGTAGCTTTTTTGCTGGTCATACCTGATATGTTACCAAAACGTTGTCCCGCGCGTCAAATACCGTGTTTAGACATAATGACCGCCCGTTTGTAGCTCCTGTTCCCGTGAGCAGCACCGGTATTATTAGTAGGAATGCAGTGAAATACGTTGACCAGTTATTATCAGTCATTGACGGACAGGTAGTTTTTGTTGAGCAATAAATATAACAATTTTTTAGTACAGTTTAGTTGAATATAGTGTTAAATACTGTACTAATTATCAGGTTATGTGTAAATCTCACTGAAATCTAAACTGTTATAGTGATGTGTTTAGTATGTTAAGGGACTGGTAGGTAAAT